GGGCAACACTGAAAACAAAATGCTCATAGTAAGAGATGAAGCTTGGGGACGAGGGACCAGGCACTTAAACTCACTCAACTTTCATCCTTAAAACTCACTTTCACCCATACCCGTGGGCACAGCCGGCCGAGCACATTAATTTTAAAAAGCCACAGGGCTGATTGTGCCTGGTAATAAGTGGGAGGTTCAGACAGAAGCGTGGAAACAGCAGGCTGCAAACCTGAGCGCTCATGAGCAAACGCTAGCAATCCACAGGAATGGCTTCCAGTAACTGAGCATTTACTGTGTGCCAGGCACTGCATGCAGGCGCTTTACAAAACCCGCCACCTGTAGTTATCACAACACCTGGCCAGGTAGGCCTCGGTCTGTTGATTCCCGCGTCAGGTCTCTTTCCTTTATGCCACAGCCGATTTAACTCTCCGTCTTCCTGCCTACTGCGTTCTGTATCTGAAACCATTTCACAGAATAAGACACAGAGACCCAAAGAGCTTAGTCCTGTGCCCAAGGTCACAAGCAAGGGTAGCTCCTGATAGCGTAAAGGAAACACGTAGAAACAGATTTGGGCTAAAATTCTGCTTTGCTGACATTACCCTGCTAAGCCTCAGTTTTCGTATCAGTAAAATGGGGGTAATAATAGCACCTACCTCCAAGGGTAAAGGATGAAATCACACAGGTGCAATATCCGGAGTGCACCTTCTGGTTGTGAGGAGTGAACGAGATGCTGGGAGGAAGGGAAGCAGGTATCGGTTGCTCTTTGTCCTGGCAGGAGGAGGCCGCCCAGGGGTTCGATACTGTTCTCATAACGTCCAGAATGACATTTATCGCCCATTAGCAATGTGCAAAGCACCGTACTAACCGCTTAACATGTCATCTCTCATTGGCTCTTCCCTCAAGCTCAGTGAATCAGGTGTAACTGTCATTCCCATTTTATAGATGAGAAAACTGAGGCACAGAGAGGAACATTAGATAGGAAGAGGTAGAGCCAAGACTCAAACCCAGGTCTGCCCTAACCCCTCGGCAATACTGCCTCCCTCACACTAGCTTTGCCTCTTTTCCAGTTTGGCTCCAACTGGGATGTCTACTTGACCAAGCCGGATGGTACCTATGTTCTCAGGACAGTCCAGGAGCTGCTGCCTGCCTCCTTCGGGCCCGAGGACCTGCAGAAGGTCCAGTGAAAGATGGAGAATGCCCACCGCCTGGGAGAGCCTGGGTTCCCACAGGTGCTTAAGGAGCCAGCCGTCCGGAGAGCTTCACGAGGACCTTCTCACAGACCTGGGACACCTGCCGAGTGGGCGCCAAGCCCACAGGGACGGGCAGAGATGACTTTTGCAAATGGTCCTCAAGCACTTGGGTCTACTGAAGTGATAGAGGGGGTCTCACTCCAGCCTGGGTCATGGCCCCTCCCTGTCACCCCAGACCACCCCACCTGCCACCCGAGACCAGAGAAACCCATTCCTTCCTCTCCTTCCTGCGGGCCCTCTTTAAAATCCAGGCCAAGTGTGGACTGCTGCCCCATTCGCCTTCCCAAGGTTCTATCCTGTTCGGAGCGACTTTTCTAATTATAAACATCACAGCGCCACCTGACTCAGGAGAGCACATGTGCTGTCTCCATCATTGCTCGCAGCTCCTAGGAGGGCCGGGGTGATTTGTCTCTCTCTGTGCAAACACCTGGCCGCTTTCTGCGGGGAGAGGACATGGGCCCTTGGCACTGTGTGCCCCTCGGTGTGGAGAGATGCGGTTCTTAGGCTTCTTGGCCCTGTGTCTCCAGAAGGGAGCCCCCCACCCCCCACCCCAGCTGGGTCTAACTCTCCGTAGTGACCATTTCCGGTGTCTATTTTGGGTTCCTTCTTCTTACAAATGAGGGGCTGGGCTTCAGTGAGGTTAAGTAACTTGCTCTAGGACTATGGCAAAGTTCAAACCGGAATCCAGGTCCTTAAACTCCCACGATGGTCTCTAGAAATAGTGCATGCTCTTTGCGGGGCACTGTGCTAAGGCGATCAACATATATGAACCCATTTAGTCCTCTCTTACCAAGCTCAGAGTAGGCTGCCCTCCCTTTACCAAATGAACAAAATCCGAGCTCAGAGAGGTTAAGTCACTTGCCCAAAGTTGCACAGCTAATAGGTAGCAGACTGGAATTTGAACCAGGTCTGCCTGATTCCAAGTGTTTTTCCATTCTCCCACTGCTGATGTCTGGCTGCCTTTATTTATCTGAGTATCATTTAGATGGCAAATATTGCAGAGAGAAAGATGTATAAGAAAGTCTCTGACCTTGAGGAACTTGCACTCCGACAAGGAGAGAGAGGTGGAAACAGGTCTATTGCACAAATATACTGTGATTCAGGCAGGTCCCAAGTGCAAGGTGGCTACAGCGGGAACTATGCCACCTCCTGGGGTGTGAGGAGGGTCTGTTCCATTGGCGCATTGGCTGCAACACACACACACTCACACACACACACACACTCAATTAGGCAGGTGAGGACCCACTCCGACAAGGAGAGAGAGGTGGAAACAGGTCTATTGCACAAATATACTGTGATTCAGGCAGGTCCCAAGTGCAAGGTGGCTACAGCGGGAACTATGCCACCTCCTGGGGTGTGAGGAGGGTCTGTTCCATTGGCGCATTGGCTGCAACACACACACACACACACACACACACACACTCAATTAGGCAGGTGAGGACTGAATAAGGGACAGAGCCAGGCTGACCTGCTAAGGGTGACAGCTCTGATCCCTGCAGGAGTTGCCTGAGTACCAGGGTGAGAGGAGAGCACAGGCTTCTTCTATCTAGGCAAGCACGTTGCTGGGAGCACAGGAAGTGTTGCCCTTCCCTGGGGGTCCCTCCACTCCTATCCGGATCCGGAGCAGCTACAGGTGTGTCTGGGAGGTCTGGCTTCTCCACAGCACACCCAACCCACCTGCTGCCATCTGGCAGGTGCGGCACTGCCGGGGTCTTCTGCACACCCTTCTGGGTGGTCTCAATATGGGGGTGGGGGAGGGGAGGGGGAGAAAACAAGAGAATGCTGGAATTAAAGAGACCACGATGCTAATATCAGTCAAATTCTGCTCAGTGGGAATCTAGCTGGGTGATTTTTTCCTTTGTTCATATCTGTATTTTTTAAACTTACAAAACTTTTTAATATTTCATAAGAACCAAATGGTATTGCATAATGGTTAAGTATGTGGAGTTGGACAGCCTCCAAACTGTGTGGCTTTGCACAAGTGATTTCATTACTCTGACACTCACTATCATCATCTAAAAGAGAGTTGCTGTGCGGATTGAACGGGATAATGCACATTAAGAAGAGCCCAGTGTTGGACCCTCCATAAGCTCTTGATACAGGGCAGCTGTGAAAGGTGACACATTTTGGTCCTTTGAACATGGATTTGATTTTTGCAAACAGGCAGCAGTCTTTTATAGCCAATGTATTCATTCATTTGCAAATGATTTATTAAGTGCCTACTGTTCTGGGGCTGGGGCCAAATGGTGGGGAGGTAGCAATGATGAGACAGATGAAACCCCTGCCCTCCACGGCTCTGGCTGTAGCTGTGGGAACTGAGAGCTAATGGTTCTAGAACTTCACGTCACCCAAGGGGGAGAACGGGCTCTGGGAGCACCCGCAGGAGGAGAGGAGCTTGCCTGCGGAGGGGCAGGGCAGTCCTGGGGAGGAGAGGTTCCAGCCAGGGCATCAGCAGGGTCCCCCATTAGGAAACAGGGCTTGGGGAGGGGCAGAGAACGAGGACTGCCTAACGGACGAAGCCCAGCGTTCTTATATACTTCTTGGAAACAGACTGCCAAAGCAATTCGCAAGAGAGGATTCCAGAAACAGTTTGAATAATGTCCACTTGGAAGAACACCACTCCTTTGGCTGGAGAGAGGCTGGGATGCTTATTGAAAATATATGCACAAGGCCTGGGGTGGGGCAAGGCTGGGGGGGGGGAGGCTAAAGGGGGGGGGGGAGATTGGGAGCATCTGTAATACTATCAACAATACAATGAATTTTAAAAATTATAGATATATATAATTTTTAAAATTTATTTTCATTTTGTGGTCCCTATGTTCTGAGGACCTAAGATTTCAGAGCAGCACACCCTCTATTGTTCAGAGCCTTCTGTGGAGTCCCAGATTCCCATGGGAAGAAATAGAGGCACGCATATTTCTGCTGCTCTTGCCAGCTGCTGCTAATTGCTTATGTAAACGACAAGATTCTTTAGGATTTCCTTTTGGCAGGGAAGAGGTCACAACTCTGATGGACACTAGGTACTTTGGGTGCCTGTGTCAGATATGAAGCCAGAAAACACTGTTCAAGAATAAGGGATGGGCCAGTAGGTCTCCCACACACATAATATTGTGTACATGATTATATGGGCCCAGAAACAGGCATGGAAGAAACACCCAGTCTGTTCATTTTTGAGGGGTATGGAAAGGGGAAGTTAAGGTGAGGGGGGAGGGGATCAAAAACTCTATGACTGAACAGAAAAAAATATGGCATAATGATACATTAGTCATCTATTGCTGTATAACAAATTATGCCAAAAGTTAGCGGCTTGGGACGACAGAAATTTATTATCTCACAGTTTCTGCAGGTCAGGGATCTGGGCAGAGCTGGGTCATCTGGTGGCTGCTGTCTCATCCGAGGGCTAGACTGGGGAAGGATGTACTTCAAAGCTCACTCTCATGGTTGTTGGCGGGATTTAGTTCCTGTGGGCTGTGGCTGTGACTATTCACTTCCTTGCTACGTGGGCCTCTCCACAGGGCACTTTACCACACAGCAGCTGGCCTTCTTATGAAGAAGTGAGCAGGAGAGTGAGAAAGGGTGAGCAAGACAGAAGCCAGAGTCTTTTTGCAACCTAACCATGAAGGTGACAGCCCATCACTTTTGCCAAATTCTATTCCTTAAGAAGCAAGTCCTTAAGGTCCAGTTCACAGCCAAGGGGAGTGGATTGCACAAAGGCATGAATACCAGGGGCTGGACTCTCTAGAAATGTAAAAGTCGAAAATGCACATGGGCAAGGAACAGCAAAGAAAACAGAAGAGGAGGTAAGGGTGGGAGAAGGGCTAGGGCAGTAGTTCTCAACCTTGGCTGCACATTAGAATCACCTGGGAATGTTTTTAAAATCCTGATTTCTGGGCCTCATCCTCTGGAAATTGTGTTTCTTTGTTATGGTGTGAGGCCACAAGGCCTCATCCTCTGGAAATTCTGTTTCTTTGTTATGGTGTGAGGCCACAACATTAGTAACAAAGAAACAGAATTTCCGGAGGATGAGGCCCAGAAATCAGGATTTTAAAAACATTCCCTGGTGATTCTAATGTGCGGCCGAGGTTGAGGGGAAGCAGGGGAAATTCCTTGGGGAATTTCCTTGGGAAATTCCTTGGGCTAGGGGAAGCAGGCCTGATTATCCTTGTTAAGGAGTTGACCTTATTCCAAAGGGCAGCCACCAGTCTCCGGAAGCAGGGATGACGTGGTCAGCTTTGTGCCTCAAATAGGTGGCTGTCAAAAATAAAGAGGTATTAGAGCCCTGAAGGAAACCATAGCAAAAATAGCTAAAAGAGTAAAATATTTTTGCCTCTGAGCTTAGAAGTTAGAAAAGGAGATTGTTGCTTTTCATGATTGTCCCCTCTACCAGGAGATCAACCTGGGGGTGGGGCTGGCCAGCCAACCACGGGAAGGGAGGCCCAGGCCGGCAACAGGCAGATGGGGAGGGGAGGGGAAAGGGAGGTCCCAGCCAGCAGCCGGCAGCCGCTAGGGACCCTACCCGTGCACAAATTTTGTGCGCTGGGCCTCTAGTATGTGTGTGTGTGTGTGTGTGTGTGTGTGTGTGTGTAGTGTTTTTTAAAGGACTTTTTAATCTAAAAAAAAAACCCCACACACAAAGGGAATATAAAGAAATAAGTCATAGAAAGGAAATTCATTTATCAATTCCAGAGCACAAATGCAGTGGTGATTCTGTTGAGGGTAGGAGGTGAGCTACTCAACATTCCTATGGTTTTCCTCCATCTCCTTCTGGCTCACTGTCAGAAAGGAGGTGTGAGTCTGGTGACTGGGAGTTCAAAAGGATAGCCCAGCCCCTTTCTCTCTCCTCCTTACGAGTGAGCCTGCCCACTGAGGGCCTGTGTTCCCAGATGGCTCCCAACAAGGGCTGGGGATTCAGAAGGCCCTGTGCTGGGAGCTGGGGGGGTGGGGTGTCAAAGGTTAAAAATCATATCCCTATCCTTACAAAACTCATACTTTAGAAAGGGAACCAGAGAAGGAACATCTCGCTCAGTCTAGGAAAGGTTAAAGAAGGCTTCCTGGAGGAGGTGACCTCAAGTATGAATAAGGACTCTTGCCCTGGCTGGTTTGGTTCAGTGGATAGTGTGTTGGCCTGAGGACTGAAGGGTCCTGGGTTCGATTCCAGTTAGGGGCACATGCCTGGGTTGCAGGCTCGATCCCCAGTGGGAGATGTGCAGGAGGCAGCCAATCAATGATTCTCTCTCATCATTGATGTTTCTATCTCTCCCTCCCTCTCCCTTCCTCTCTGAATTAATAACAATTAAAAAAAAAGGATTCTTTTAAGAGGTAAATCAAGACAGAATGAGTTATCTTCCCATGTGCTCTGCTCACTTCTCAACACCATCAATAGACCAAGTTTTCAAAGAGTTTCCTTTGAATTGTGAGCTGTTTCCAGCATTTGGGATAGTGGTGTATGACATTCTAATTCAAAAGTTATCTATCCCCCATATATAACCCAGAGAAATTAAGACTGCACAAAATATTAACGACATGAGTTACTTGTGGACAAGCAAGGGGAAAGCGAGGCAAAAAAAAGACAGGGGGGTCAGTGTGATGCTTGGGAAGACTGCAAGTAATTCAGCATTGCTGGACCACAAAGGGAGGGAAGATGGACAGCAAGGGAGATGCCAGGGCCAAATAGTACAGGACCTTCTGTGCCAAGCTAAGGACCTCAGTCTTTACCCCGCGGGCCATGGCCGGGCAAAGAGCCTGCGAAGGACTTTATGCAGCAGGTCACATAACCATATTTTTACTTCGAATAATTGCTGCAGGGCAGCCAATTGATTGGACTGCACGAACCACAGACTGTCTGAATTTCTCAACAACACATCGCCCTAATCCACCACCAGCACGTTTTCATCCGTGTTGTCCAGGCAAAACAGAGGCACGTCTTCCCAGTGAAATCTCCCTCTTTGCCCCCTGCTGTTTGATTCTAACCTCCAAACACGACTCCCGGCCTTTCGAGCAGTCGGATTTTCATCTGGCGGCGGCTTTGCTCTTGTCAACAGTTTTAGCAAAATCTCCTTCCACCTCTGCTGGCAATTCAGAGATAGCGTTTCTGCAATGGGCTGTGGATAAAGGATGTTGCTGCCCTGGGAAAATTTGTCTGTCTCCTGCCAGGAGGAGACAAAGGGTATTGAAGCGGTGCCAGACGAGAAGGTCAACATGCCCTTGGCAGGTGTGGGTTTTTTTCCTTTTCTTTTTCCATTTTTACATTAACATCAGCTTTTTTTTCCCCCCCACACCGTGTCCTTTGGGGAAGGTTAAATGATGCTTCTTACGTATTTTACAAAAACTACACAGTCTCGCTGCCTGGAAAGTAAAGGAAGGTACAATGAAGACAGAAGGGCGCCCGCAGAGCAGAGTGTAGAGCAGGAAGACACCCCCCGCCCAATTCTCTAATTCTGTGGCTGAGCCTATCAAAGCCTGCCTGGTACCTGGTGATGTTTAATAATGGCCTAGGAATGAGCAGCACTCTCCTGTAGAATATTAAATCTTCAGCATAAACAGATACCTCAGCAGAAAACCATATACCATATCCCAACTTCCCCTTCTTGGGACAGCGCTGAAGAGACAAAAGATGTTATCAGAGAGCCTCAGGGCCATCTCTTAAGACCTGAGGCTTGCTGCCACCGTGGGGTTTTCCTTTTCCAGAGAACAGAGGGGGAGAGTGGAGTCAGGGCCATAAGTCCCAGGAAAGCTAGCTGGGTGTTCCTCCATGATAAAGCCATCTCTGCCCCAGAAGGGAGAACAGAATCCCAGCAGTTCCTCCCGGAAGCATCTCTGTGTAGTAATGAACTTGCTTGCCCTTTCCATCCTTACGGCTGCCAAAGCATCCAGCCTCATGCTGTGCTTGGTTCAGACCTGTCAGAGGAATTTAGATTTATCTGCAGAGGTGAACCAGTCCAGCGCCATCTTGACCGGAAGTCCAGTGCTCTCCGTTGAACAAGAAACTACACAGCCTACCATGGAGGGTTAAGTAGTATCGGTCTGGAGATTTCGGTTTCACAGGTGGGTGAGTTAAGCATCACAGGTCTGGCGAGTTTATTTGCACCTTCAGGGTCTAAATCCAAAGGCTGATAACAAATGCACTCCTTAACTCAAAACAACCCATTCAATGTTCCTTTCACGAGTATGAGTACGTATGTCCTCATCACCAGCCTGGTGGTAAAATGTTACATTACTAGAAGAGTAAGGAAAATCCTTGTACTTAAAACTAAAGATCTCAGACAACCTCTTGTTCCCTCTCAGTAAACACTGAAAGAGAAGAGCTGTAATGATAATGACACATAGCAGATGAGTAGAGTTAAACTTTAAATGAGACCTTTGTCCCAACTAAGTTTCCACGAGTGAGCCTGTGGTCACCGGACTGTGAAGTTTCTGCTATCTTCTCTTCGTTATCTTTCTCCAAAAGTCCATTTCAACAGAATATTTTATTTATTTTATTTTATTTTATTTCTAGAGGCCCGATGCACGAAATTTGTGCAAGGGGCTTGGCCCTAACAGCCCCTTGCAGCATAAGCCGGCCCTCGCAGCCCCAGCTTTATCCGGAAGGTCGTTCCGCTGTTTGGTCTACTTAGCATATTAGCTCTTTATTATATAGGATTTTTTTAAGCCTCACCCGAGGATATTTTTCATTGATTTTTTTGGAGAGTGGAAGAGAGAGGGAAAGACAGAGAGAAATATCAATGTGAGAGAAACACATCGATTGGTTGCCTCCTGCATGAGCCCCAACCAGGGCCCTGGCCGGGGAGGAGCCTGCAACCGAGGTACATGCCCTTGACTGGAATTGAACCCAGGACCCTTCAGTCCGCAGGCCTACACTCTATCCACTGAGCCAAACCGGCTAGGGCTCAACAAGAGCATTTTAAATTGTAATTTAAAATTTTCTGAGATCAATAAAGAAAATTAATATCTGATTTCCATGTGCCTCTGTGTCCACATAAGAAACATCCAAACCGCCGAAACCGGTTTGGCTCAGTGGATAGAGCGTTGGCCTGCGGACTGAAGGGTCCTAGGTTCGATTCTGGTCAAGGGCATGTACCTGGGTTGTGGGCACATCCCCAGTGGGAGATGTGCAGGAGGCAGCTGATCGATGTTTCTCTCTC